GTAGGGAGTGGATCTGAATTCCCCCATGTGTTTTCTAGTGCAGAGAACTCTGAATATTGGAAGGTGGATATTCCATGGAGGGAGTAGTCATTAACTATTTATATATGAAATACTACCTTATTTTATTTCTTTTTCATTGCACAGGATAAAATGAATTTTTGTTCACTCTAAGTTTAAAACTAAATATACACAATAAGCATAGAACTCTTCCATGTGCATTTGCAATGGACATGGCTCAATTTTAAAACTATATCCCTGATTTTAATCCTATTTATTCAAAAGTGTTGGGCTGTCAATATTTATGGTTGCTAGATTTATATAACACTGAGAGCAACTTAGAATTTATTTCTCCATAAAAATGAAAACTATGAAATGCTTTTTAATCTGTAGAATAAACATTGTTCTCTCCAGCTCACTATTGAATATTGCATACATTCAGTTATTAACCTACATTTTTAAATGTATATAATTCATCAGCCTTTATTACATCTTTGTTTATCTTATTTGTATGTGTGCATATGCATGTGCATATATATCAACCAGAGAATACATATATAGAAGTCGGTTTTCTCCTTTCATTACATAGATTCTAGAGAATCGATTTCAGATTGTAGGCTTGGTGGCAAGCACCTATGCCACTGAGCCATCTTGCAGGCCCCTTGGACCTAAACTTTACAATCGAGTTCCAGAAAGCATAGCATTTAAGATTGTTCTCCATAAAGAAATGTTCTCCATAAAGAAATGTTCTATCTTAATGTAAGCAGAAACAATTATAAAAGATAAAATATGCTCGACATTGTAACAAACATTGAGCATATGATGAATGCCAGATTTTGTCCAATAACTGCATTCAGACCTCTAACCTTTAAAACTGGGCATGAGAGACTCACAGATATGCTCAGTTCAGTAGGTTAAACCTGGCAAATTCCAATATGCCCCACACACCCATGATGAACTCCAACTCCTGGAAGTAAGACAGGATGACTTTATGTGTACTTTGGGACAAGCCACTCCAGTGAGCTCAGTGATCACTAAGTTACTCTAACACAGGCCATTGCCTTCTTGATGAGACTCTAACTACACATTAGCCATAGCTGCAGTCAAGTGGAAAGTACAGTTCAGGTTGTTTCCCCACAAGGCTTCTTTGCCCTAGTAAATCATGCAGGCTGGCCAGAATATCTACCCATGAGTATGATACAGGTGACGTGTAACCAAAGCCCTCAGCTTAAGCACAGGGCTCTCTATAAAAGCACACTGTTTTTCAATTCATATTTTCCTCCCGATCCTCAGAGACCCTGATTGCCAGAATGAGTGGCTTATCAAATCTTATGTATAAATATCCTGTTGACAATCAGGATGAGGTCAGGATTATAATTGTTCCCTAGATGCTGGATCATAAAGGCATTAAGGAAAGATATCTCGAGCTGGCATGTATCTGGAAGAGCAGAAGGAAAACTGGACAGAGGAGTCATGTTTCTGAGGGACACTGAGGGATTCAGAAAACACAGCTATCCTTGGAACTTAAAGACTGTGAACCTTGTGGCTCAATGGCCCTGAGTGCTTGGTCTGCACCAGCCCCTGGGTTCAACCACAAGTATACACACACACACACACACACACACACACACTCATACATACATGAACCCTACATCAACAGATAATAGGCTGTGAAAAGGTGAGAATCACCACCATTGCTGTTACTCTAGTTAAACAGAGAGAGAGAGAGAGAGAGAGAGAGAGAGGACTGTGTGGGAAGAGGAAGAAACAAAGGTCCTAACAAAGAAGGTTTTCCTTTTGGCAAGGAGTTAAGTAAGTCCTGGTCAGTTTTGAGGGTAGACTTGACTCATATTCATGCAAGAGAAGCTCCTACAGAAAGTCCAGCCCCCAACAACCTGTACTTTCGCTCTCGAATGATCACAATTACTTTCCTATATTGATTCTTAAAGGGTATTTTAGGAGTTGACATGATCCTCCAATTTCACAGTGCACATTAACCACCTGTGAAGCCCTGATAGGATTTATCTCTTCATCTGTCCATGTATCATTCGTGCTTCATTAACCTCCTGACGGAGTCTTCACCTGCAGCCCGGAGATCATTGTTGAACTTAGTTATTTGGTATTATAAGGGACGATTTTTAATATTTTTTCTTAATGACTGAGAGGCTATGGGAAAGCATTCTCATTTTTAAACGTGAGCTTTAGAATATGTGATCATTTTCAGTAGATGCATTTGGATTTTCAGAGTAAATGATCACATATTTCCACATAATGCCTTGGTAATTTCCTGTAAAGAAATATTTCACAATGTTGAAGTGCTTTTCCTTCCTGAAGTAAATTGTATGTGCTAGTGGTGTGGCACATACAGCTACAGGGTTTTTAAATGGACTTACCTCACAAGAGCAGTTTTGAGAGAATTTTTGTATCTATATATATTTTGGTAAATCAAAATGGAAATAATTCTCTTTATTTGTCTGCATTCAGGATTCAGTATCAAATCAATAGTGACTTTAGAAAACTGAGTTTGGAAACATAATATTTTATTATTCTCTAAAAATAGTTTTCAAAATCAAATCAACGTGAACTAACTATGGTGGGCCAATCACCAACACAGGTATCTGGGTCCATTGCTAACAGCATCTAACAGGAGCGTTGGTAATTCAGGAGTGTTAATTAGCCTGGCCTTCAGACACTGCTAGGTAAACCCATCATCCGATCTCCCTTTTTCAAGACCATCTCAAACTCCCTAAAATCAGAGCTAAATTATCAGGTTTCCCATTTTGAAATACCCTAGCTACAGTCTCACTTAAGAGTACCAAATACATCAGTTCAAGTATTAAAATAACGTTGAGAGCATTATAGCCTTGTGTGTTATGATATAGGCTTGTTTTCCTTTTGCATGTAATTAGCTCATAGATCATAACAGCAACTGCAGAAGCCAAACTTAAGATTCAATCATATTTTTAAAATTGCCTTTATTTTGCCTGCAGGACACTGGAATAATATTATATCAGGGTTACATGCTGTATTTTTGCTTAAATGTTTCTTCACATAAACTTCTAGAATGTTGTTCACTAATATTAGTTGAAGACACTCCCCTCTAATATACAGAAGACCTTCAGGAAGCATTGACTCCTTCTGAGAACCACCATACTGGAGTTCTGATACAACCACCTCTGGTAGAAGGACATAGCAGGAACTCCACTCTTGGGATATAAAGTGCCAGTCCAAGCCTAAGGGCAAGATGAGCTCTAAGTCACAATGCACAGGGATTCTTTGCCACAAGTGGATGTTTTCATTGCCCTTCATAAGAGTTACCCAATCTAAGGTTCTCATAGAAGAAAAGGGCAAATTCTCATAGTGGTTATCTCATAGAAAGCAATTCCCGCCCTATAGTTAGACGAGGCTAGTGATTTTAGATTACACTACTGGGAACTTTTTTCCTCAAATTCTAATGTCTTCCTTTTTTTTTTCATTATCGTGAAATCATGCATATTGATTATGTTTTTTAAAAAAAGCTAAGATAAAGTTTAATAAAACACATTAAACCCACATAGAATCCTTATACTCAAAAGTCACTCTGCTAACCTTTTGGTATAGACCTTTATAAAGTTTCTATTTCAATACTTCTCCTAAAATAGTTAGCGTTTATGTGTAACTATAATATTTATTTTCCAAATATGTGAGGGATTTTTCCCCCAAATATCCTGTTTCATTTTCAGGAACTGTTTTCATGGATTCTCTTTTATGGGATCAAATTATATGTGCCTTAATTATTGCATTTTACCTAAAAGAATAAAGAAAAATCTATATGACATAGTATACTTCCATTTATCATCAGTGAATATTTTCCTGTGTCCCAAGAACTGACAGAACAAAACCTATTACTCGTTCATGATGAAGGTGATGAAGTTCTTATTTCGTCAATAGTTTGTAAAGAGCTTCCAAACACCATCACTAGTATTCTTTCTCTCCTCTCGCTTCCCAGGTAGCTCACCCTTCCCCCATTTCCCTCTGAGTCCTTGGTTCACTTCCCCAAACCTTCAGTTCTAACACTGAGTTCTGTTCGCTCCAAGGCAGAAGATAATCATTTAGGTTCCCACCAGGATGACGTTTTGGAAAATGTAAATATAAACATAACAGTAGCCTTATGTGTGTATGAATGGGGTTATTTACAAAGTAGCTGTGACGCATACAAAGATGGTAGTGAGGACAGAGACATCTGAGTGGCTCAGGGAGGAAAAGAGGTGGGCAGGAAACATTTGATTATAGACTCTTCAGATTACACGAGTGCTTTATAATACCATCTATTCAAAATAACGCTTGAAATAGAGACAGAGGTGCATATATACATACAAAAATATAAAAACTTAAGGCATGGGCTATTTTATAGGTTCCATGTCTTACTAACTGCCCGTAGAAATGCAGCTTCTAACTATAACACTATCATCTTTTGGACAAGAACTAGAAAAATACTTCTATTTTCTCAGAAAATGTTTGTTGCCATTTTGTTCCATGACAGACATAAACTGCCAAGTTCGAATCAATGACAGGGAAACACAGAACAATGTCTGCTCTACTGTAGAGAGATAATGTCAAACCATATGCTGCTGCATCTGGTTTGAATACACGTGTGCTTGTGTGCACATGCACTCGAATACACACATACACACACATATATGCACGCACACACACAAACACAGACATACTCACGTGTGCGCACACACACACACACAGAGAGTGCAAAAGGCAACATATGGAACAGCTCCTCAGTTGCGTTACAACAGAAGAGGTTTGAAAAGCTGCAGGAATCCTAACTTCATCTTTGGTCTTTTTTGAAATACAGGTTCACTAGTTCTTGTTATATAAATCATATCGGTGCCCTTTAGCAGCATCTGTGTGGCAGTGATGCAGGACAAGCATGAGAATCAGTTATATTGCTCTGTGTGGTGTCCAAATATCTGTGACTTTGGCACCCCTAATTTCTTGTTCTCTGTTTACAGGTAGTGAAATCAAAGTTATCCAGACAGCACCATGTTATCAAGATGAAAAGATCCAAGAACCATATTGTGGGGAAATACTTCAGTAGGCAAAGCAAACTAAAACAACACAATTCTGTCCCAAACGTTCATTCACCGTATCATGTCAGAGGCCCGATAAATCAAGTTTGTTCTGAAATCCTGCTCAGCAGGATGTGCTCAAGTCAGAGGTCTGCGCAGGCTCCCTGAAGGAGAGCCAATTGCACAGGCTCACTGAACGAGAGCTGAATTCACAGTTAGAGATGAACCCTTCACCTGGATCTGAGAACCAAATGTGCCTCACACGTACTTTGCAATGACTGTACACTCATCAGTGCAAGCATGCACAGCAAAGCACACAGCTCACAAAAGCGCAATGACACATTTTTCTCATGACTGTACACACTCACAAGTGACCTTGAGCATCCGTTAGCTTCAGGTTGAAGCACAGAGCTATACGGAGATCACTTGAACTGTGATCACAAACCAGGACCATGTGGACCAGGTATTGGACTGCAACGACAAACAGAAATCCAGAAATGCAGCAGCATGGGGATAGGGCGACGCTGGTTCTGTGCTCTCCTCTCCGTAAGTTCACTAATGTATAAATGCTGAAGACACAAATACATTCCACATGGAAGAAAGGATAGCACTGAAGTTCTGTACCGGGAGAAGTGGGATACTTTTAGTGGTTCGAGTTGTGAGGATCCAATGCTTTTGAAAAACATTTCTTCTTATGACTTTTAAAACTGTTACAATGGAAGGGAAAGAACAGGGTGATTCTCTGCCGTGGAATTCAAAGAGATTCTCCAAGAGCGATAGGAAGCAATATTATATTCAACTCTGAGTTTCTGTGTGTTCCACAAAGATTCCCCCCACCCCTAACTTCTGTGAGCTTAGGTGGGGAGCGCAGTCTAAATGGATGATAGGCATCATTTTAAAGTGTGGGACAAAATAAAGTTCCCCATTGGTTACTTTGTATATTGGTGAATGCTGTTACTAAGGTAGCTTTCACTTGCCCCTATAGACCTATTTAATTTACGACGACAGTTACATTTCAGATATTGTGCAAAGGCTTGCAGATTCTCAAATGTAAAAGCGTGAAGCATTTCCTGTAGACCCACAAATTACACTATGCGACTAGAGCTGTATTTTTCTTTGAACAGATGTGTTTAACTCAAATTAGAGTAGGCATACAAATATTTTTATGAAAATTGTGGTATAAGTATGGAACGAACGTGCCTAGTTCCAGCATTGAAAACTTTCACTTCTGTCTTTTTAGGCACAAGATGGTAACTTTCCTTATTGTACAAATTCTTTGATGTGAGATAACTTCTTACTGTTGTGGGTTTTAAAGGATGATTTGGACATAAGGAAAGGAAGCTGAGAGGGCTAACTCAGTATGTAGTTTAGATTACTAAATATACAAATACCTCAAGTTCATTGCCATAAAAAAAGAAACTATTTTCACCTATTGACCCATCAATTAGAATGAATACCCACCTCCTTCAAATGCTCTATTTTTATATATATATATATTTTATAAGAACATAAACATGAATTTATATTTTAACTGTTTTAAATGATATTTAAATACAAGTATCACTTGATAAATAAACGTGCATTTAGAAATAGATTTTTTTGAACAACGGTACAGAATTAACTTAAAAATGAAATATTTTTCATATTTACGTCTATATGCAAACACTATTTTTAGATTTTTCAGTTATTTTTCCCTAATATAACATGTTAGCAATTGATGCAGCTGCTCCATCAAATGTCCCCCACGTTGTCCAACTAGTGCTAAGCCTTTTGTAACTCACTCTCCTCATAACCATGACAACTGTCTGACTCAAGTCAAGTCTGGCATTTCCCGCTTGACCACTGAAATAATACTAGATTTTTAGAAACAACTGTAATGTGTTATCAATAAATGTGTAGCTGGTAATCATCTGTGTTCAGAGAGCATCTTTTACCGTCCCTCTTTTAAAGCCGTTGTTAGATACATGTATTTATTTCACTTTATGTATACGTAAGTTCTGCCTGTGTGTATGTATTGTGTGTGTATCATGTGAGTTGGTGGTGCTGATGGAGGTCAGAAGAGAGCATTAGATTCCCTGGAACTAACGGCTACATAGGGTTCTGAGCCACCACATAAATGCCTGAGAATCAAACAAGTCCAGTCCTCTGTCTGAGCTTGTGTTCCTAACCACTGAGCCATCCCTCCAGCCCCTTACCTTCTTGTCTACTCTTATACAGCCACACAAAGACTGACAACTGGAAAGGTGTATCGTCGAGCGGACCCACACGATGGCGTGTGAGAAGCAGGACTGACCGCATCGTCACTTCCGCTCTGACATCATCTCAGCAGTGCATGGGTGGAACTCGCTGCTGTGACCTAAGCTTTGGAATGCAGTTTAGAAAAGTATTTCTTTTTAGTTTTGTATGAGAAGGCACTGAAATTCTTTTTTCTTTCTCGCTTTTAATAAGCATTTTATTTGTTTCCATTTACGTTCCAAATGATATCCCCCTTCCCAGTTACCCTTTCACAACCCCCCATCCCATACCTCCTCTAATTCCTCCCCTTTGCCTCTATGAGGGTGCTCCTCCACCCACTCCTGTCTCACCACCCTAGCATCCCCCTATGCTGGGACATTAAGCCTCCACAGAACCAAGGGCCTTCCCTCCCGTGGATGTCAGAAAAGGCCATCCTCTGCTACATATGTATCTGGAGCCCTGGCTCCCTCCATGTGTACTCTTGGTTGGTGGCTTAGTCTCTGGTAGCTCTGGGTGGTCCGGTTACTTGATACTGTTTTTCCTATGGGCTTGCAATCCCCTTCAGCTCCTTCAGTCCTTCCTCTAGCTCTTCCACTGGGGTCCCCAGGCTCAGTCTGATGGTTGGGTGTGAGTATCTGCATCTCTATTGGACCTCTCAGGAAACAGCCATATAAGGCTTCTGTTAGCGACCACTTCTTGCCATCAGTAATAATGTCAGGGTTTGGTGTCTGCAGATGGGATGGATCCCTAGGTGGGGCGGTTTTTGGATGGCCTTCCTTCAGTCTCTGCTCCATTTTTTTCTGTTGTTGTTCCTGTCTTTCCTTTGGACAGGAACAATTCTAAATTAAAAATTGAGATGGGTGGGTGGCCCCATCCCTCAACTGGGGGCCAGAGAAGGCGCTGAAATTCTAGTGACTGTTTCAATCACCTTTTAACTGAAGAAACTCTGTTTTGCAATGGATGATTAGATGTGAACACATGCCTTTCCAAACATACTTCTCTATTTTAGAAAGTTTTAATTTGAGCAGGGGGAAAATAGGAGTGGGTCTTTAAAAATACTTTTAAGTGTGAAAGTTACAGGAAGCGTATTGTTTTGAGTAAGAGTTGATCAGCATCCAATCTAAACTCAACTTTTAAAAAAAAACAAACATTTATAATATTACAACTCAAGAATAACTTCACGAACATTTCCAAGCAGCTCTGTTGACTCTGAGCAAGAGTGATGGGGTATGCATGTGTGTACAAGTGTGTGTGTACATGTGCACAAGAGGATGTGTGTGTGTGTGTTAAAGGTTCAGTGTAGTGTTCACCTGAAACCAAGCAGAACTTTATAGAGATGCCAAAATGCACTCGACTTTTTTTGCTGAGCTGGCTTACACTGGAGTCATCAAAGCTTTTAAAACTAGTTTCCTTTATCTCTAGAAGTCTTTCCCCCACAGAAGGCTAGGTCTCACCTTAAAGCATTGGGGGAACTTACTGAAACCAATTCTAACGGAAATAAGGAGGAAAACAAAACTCAATGGTATCCTGCATCTTTCCTTGGTCCCTTTAGTTCCATCTCACTGGAAAATACTTAAACAAATATAAAAAGAGGTGTAAAATTACATTATCCAATAAAACCTGCTTTCACAAGTCTACAACTTTGACATGGAAGGAGAGAAAAGGCATCTTCTAGTTTGAAAGTTTTAACCAAGATTACACTAAGCATTATCCTTCATTTAAGTAAACAAAAATATAAGAAAGTCACTCAAATCTACAGTACTAATATTACAGTTAAAATAAACACATGTAACCATTATTTCAAAAGCACATATTTCAGCACAAAACAGCAATACCCAGCTCCCACCATTCTGACTGATCAAGGAATAACTGCTCTGCAAACGATATTTTGAGTTTTGTTTGTTTGCTTGCTTACTCCTTGGCTTGCTTGTTTTTTAGACAGAGGCTCACTATGCAGGCTACCCTGGTCTGGCACTCAAGATCCTCCTAATGAATGCTGGGATTACAATCATAAATCATCCTGCCTGCCTGTATTTTTTAATATGCATTTAAATTTCAAATGCTTTTGACTGTGCTTGGAAGTGAAGGCATTTTTGATAGATCATTTCAGCTTAAGGAGTTGATTCAGAAGTTGTCAGAACTCCCAACCCCACCCCAAAGACCTGCTTAAGACAAGAAGATTCTGCACATGCCTGCAAAGGAGACTCTGCGTTTGGCAAAGCTTCCACGGTTTCCTATGGTTTGAGAGCCTTTTATGGTGTTTTTATTGCTTCAGTAACTGCTGTTATCAACTTCCATAGTCCTCTGATGACTCACTCACTTGGTGTACAGACGGCCAGACTCTTTTTCCCCTCACCAATACAAACCGTGTTCCTAACACCACAATCTACTTTTCTTCATATTCACTGAAATTTAAAGCATTTGTTTTATGAATTACTTAACCTTGGCACACTCGATAATACACAATCTGTTTGTTCATTTTTACTATTTATCAAGGGTAATCTGAAAGTCTACTTACAATGTAGATCAGCATAATTCCTTGACTCTAACTGAAAGAACAGCATAGCTACATTTAGAGGCAACATTGCAATACATTCCTACCTGGTGGCAAGGTTCACATAAGTTAGGTTTGGATATATGGCTGCTGGGATCTTAACTATATCTCTAGGCTTCCACAAAAATCTTTTCATTTACTTAGTAAAAGCCTTTTTTCTAATACTGTATAGCACATCTTGGAAAATATTAGTTTTTGATTAAGTTAAGAAGAGATATTTCTATCTCAAACTAAGATTTTTTTGCCTCCCTCGGGTGATTTATGTATAACATTCATAGAGTTCATTTTGTTACAGGTAATAAAAAATAAATACCTTTTATTGCATAAAAAAGTAATTCCATACATCTCCATAAGAATGCTTAGATACATTTAAACCAAAGTGATTATAATTGATTATGATCACATAAACATACAGAAGTAAGAGGGTTTCATAAACTTAAAATGTATTTGGTTGATTCTCAGCCATGTAGTGGTTTTGCTTATTATATGGTTAGTGGGCACAGTGTGTCAACTTGATGAAACTTTTATCAGATGTAAGCACATGGAACGTGGTCCAGACATATTTGATGTTTCCTTCAGTTGTAGCTCCACTTGCTTTTATCATAAAAAATGATGGGTTGAAATCTTATAAGATTTCTAAGAATTTATTTTCATGTGAGTACAACATCAAGGTCGATATTTTAATTTTCCTTAAAATCTCTCATTCATTTTGGGTCCATAATATATATATATATGTTAAAGATTAGAACATTAATTGATCTTTAAAAGTAAAAGTTTGTTTACAAGTTTTGAGACAGGGCCTCTGTAGCTTAGGCTGGCCTTGACCTCTTAATCTTCCAGTCTTGCCCTCCAGAGTGCTAAGGTTATAAGACTATGACACTATGCTTGGCAAAAAGAAAGAAAAGATAGAGAGGTAGAGAGACAGAGAGAGAGAGAGAGAAACAGAGAGAGACAGAAAGAGAGAAAGGAATGAAGGAAGGAAGATCAAGTACAATAACCTTTCAGTAGATGTGTGTACACAATTCTCCTTCGAAATATGAAAGGTATTTGGCTTCCAGTACATTTTTGCCTTACTAACTAAAGCTCTGAGAACATAATCCGTGCGACCCTGGTTAGTAGATGTGTGATATGAAAGAATGGTGTATGAAGCCAGTACTGAATCCAGTATCACCCAGGTTAGTTCCTAAGGACTTCACAATCCACATTAAGTTGAAAGAAAAGGAATCAGACCTTGTTCAGGCCTCGGGAGATCCTCAGAAAGACACAGATCATAAGCACCTTCCAGATGCTTTGGCAAATGTTAGGTGCCTTTTCAAACTTTCCCCTTAATGTGTAAGCCATTCTTCAAGATCTAATCACCCCTAAAATAAAAACATAAATAATCATTTTATGTGTTTATTGAGCCAAACTTGGTAACTTAAAACAACCAAATAGCAGACAAATGTGCTTTTAATTATATATTATTTAATAAGAAAAGTCAAAAATGTGCTATAATTACTCACAGGGTCTTTGTCTGGGAAGCCTGAAATGACAGCTCATTTGCCACTAAATTGGATCCCATTCCCAAACCAAGGGGTCATTCCTTTGGGGCAATTCCAGTTTCTGTTCAGCTCTACCTTTGTCCTTGAGATTGAAGCTATACAGCATTTCTCTGTGTGTATCTACTACATAATACAAACTTTATCTTAAAACTTATATTTTACATACTCCTCTATGCCTTAATTACATGTAACATGAATGATATGTTTAATGGGCTTTCCAGCTTTACAGTATCATAAAGAGAACTTATGAGCCTTTGTTAAAAATGACTGCCCACATAATTGGCAGAACATGGGATTATCTGCGGCTACTCTTTATAACAAAATTTCTTCTGCATTAAGAATAGTAAGAGTGGAATTGAAACAATACCTTTGTAGCCTAAAGTCAATTTACTCATCAAATGGCACAAGTTTGGATCCTACCACGTATGCATGCCCACTGGGGAAAGCCAGTTCACACACGCCTCACAAGAATATGCATTTCAATGTTCACATTAGCTATGCAAAAACAGTAGCATGTTTTTAAAAGGGTGTAAACCTAACCATCATCACAAGCTAGTCATGCCAAAAACAGTGTCC